GAGTTTACGAACTTCTGAAATTACATGAATACTTTATGGAGTTTACGAACTTCTGAAATTACATGAATACTTTATGGAGTTTACGAACTTCTGAAATTACATGAATACTTTATGGAGTTTACGAACTTCTGAAGTTACATGACTTTACTATAAAAGAAATAATACTTAATTTCTTGTATCATTTAGGCTACTACTTCCATTCGAACAGTACATGAGAAGCATCGAAGAAAATTCTCATTTTGTTCCCCAGCGAGGGCGTCCTCGGGTGAAGAAAATCTACAGAGACAAAAACAAAGACAGAATCGTACAACTCTGCCCTCAAAGGACTGAGACGCCATTAGTAAAAACATCCAGATGTGAGACGGCACAAAACATTCCAGAACATCTTGTGGCAGCGAATGACAACAAGAAATTTGCCAATGGCCCCCCACGACCTACATTAGAAACTAACGTCATACCTTGTGAAGTGCAAAAAGAAAATTTAGTAAATGGTTTTTACAAGAATTCGGAAGAATATGAGAAACGATGGAAACATGGCTGGGTGGTCGTAACAAATGAAAAGCAGGTACGTTTCTGATATATATACACACACACACACACATGTTCAAAAAATCAAACATGGGCATATCTGTGTCGCGTACAGACATTACCTGTTCTATTATCTCTTGTACTTGGATCTGAACTTACGTTGTTACCAAAAACCCGATTATCGTATGTTTATTTTATAACTCACTATTTGATATAATGTTTTGTTGCTGTTGTTTCGTACGTGGTCTGGTTTTGTAATGATGATATTTTATTATGTTGGAAGAATGTTTCGGTTTCGCTGTTGAATTCCAATGATATTTGCTTATCTATACTTTTCTTTATTCTATGGATGTTTCTCGATTTTTATCTAGATTTGTTTGAACGTAAAAACCAAATAGAAAAAAAAAAGAAACTTGGAACTTTAGAAATAAGATAATTTAGTAATCGACTCATTTGTCGGAAAACGTAACTTAATGATAAAACTAAACACGAACGTAATAACAGGAAACATCTATTAAACGTTTCGGAATCGTCATAATTCCATCATCAGTAATCTAGAGGTACAAAACAAACGAACGATATTTGTAATTACAACAGAAATATATACATAAGAAACAAACAATTCGAATATACAAATATAACACGAGAAAATGAAAACTGAGGCACAAGTGAAATAATTAAATTAGGTTTAAATCCAGTGAAGACTGTATGTTATTTAGGGACGGGAGAAGAGTATTTGTGTATAATGTTTCTTTTATATGAAGTTCAGTATCATGTTTGGCTGTTTCAAATATTTTAAAGTTTGAGAGAGAAATCGGATGTTCTGTTTCTGGATCCTGTTTAATATCTTCTAGCCTCTGACCCCCCGGTGGGTCAGCGCTAAGTTTTTTTGTTTTGAATTCGCGCAAAGCTACACGAGAGCTATCTGTGCTAGCCGTCCCTAATTTAGCAGTGTAAGACTAGAGGAAAGGCAACTAGTCATCACTACCCACCACCGATAGTGGGATTGACCGTCACATTATAACGCCCCCACGGCTGAAAGGGCGAGCATGTTTGGTGTAACGGGGATTCGAACCCGCGACTCTCAGATTGCGAGTCGAGCGCCCTAACCGGGCCGAGCGCTAAGTTTACAGACTTACAACGCTAAAATACAGGGTTCGATTTTCCGCAGTGGACAGAGCGCAGATAGCCCATTTTGTAGCTTGGCGTTGAAACTACAAAAACACACACCTAGACTCTGGTCTTCGTATAAAGATAATCTTACAGTAATGATTAATAAAGTGGAAAACCAAAGTGTTAATTAGGTTGAGCGGTGCCATCTTTCGGGAACTTTTGAACTTCGTCACAATTTTTATTTTTATTGATTTTTGTGTAAATTACATTATTCAGTTTTTGGTTTTTGATTTTTTTTTAATTGAGCATTAACTTGTTAATATGAAATACATTTAAATAACTTTTCGTTACTAGATGCATTTCGTACTTGTTACACCATCTCTGTAGATACACCTTAAATTATAGCTACAGTGTGGGGAAATGTCTTTTGAAATAATAAAATATTTTATTCTGGTACAACTTTCTATTTGCTTGTAATTAAAATAAACCTCTAAAAGATTAAATGTAAAATAGCTTATTAGGTGAATACGTTTAAAAATGTTGTTTGTTTTTTATGCTGAATGGAAAAGCTGATGAATATTATTACTCCATTATTATTAATATTATTCCATTATTTATAGGATGGAAAATCATGATTTATTTTAAAGGGTTACGTTGTGAATCGTATGAAAATAAAAATAAATACAATAGTTTCCAATTCCAGTTCTGAAAAACGTACAGTTAACTCTCAGTGGAGTTAAAGGTTAAAATAAGTTAATATATATATATTAATGTAATTCATGCAATCAAATAATTTTTGTAATTCTATTTCACGTTTTTCTGATATCTGTATTTTTATTTTATTTTATGGTCAATTTGCACTTTTGTGTATAACATAAACAACTATTTATCTACTCCAAAATGTGTTATGGAAACCTTACAATTAAAAGTTTTGTTTTCGTGTATCATTACAAAAATTATAATATTATTTTTCCTCTAGGGTTCAAGAGCGCATCTATCCCGAAATTTACCGACAACATCTTCTCACAATGCTATGTTTCGAGAAAACTTGGATGCTTCACTCATAGCTAGCGGACATGCCTCTGGAAGCCGCGCAACACACGAAAGAATCGAAAACAAATAATCCGTTATTTTTTTCGAATCTAATCCACCCAGACACTTTATCGTATTCGAAGAATAAATCGGCAAATTATGCACCCTCCTCTACCTCGTGCAGCAGTCCACTATCAAACAATTCTCATTTTAATGGTTTGCCAGTGCCTCAACCAAGGAATACAACCTCTTGTCTGCCCACTGGGCATAGATATACTGGACATCTTTACGATAAAGAAGATGGGCATAAGAATCTCTCAGGAATACAACAGCATGGTGTTAAGGGAGTTACCGATTCTAAACTTCTTAATATTCCAAATATTATTTCGTCATCGGTCTTTCGAAAAACTTTGGCACCTCATTCTTTGTCAACAAGTCTAGCACAAGAGAGTAATGATAAATGTCTTGTGGAATCTCGAAAGGCCCTCATTAGAAACGGATATCATATGGATCCAGGACATCGTCATCCACAGAGTTCATTACTATGTAGTCGAGAAGAAATAAACGAGTCTAGTCTACGCTTTTCTGTCATCCATTACCCCATATCAGAAGCATCAGCATTTGAAAACTCTGTTATCTCTCAGCCAATTTACGAAAGAATATCTCCTGTTTCAGACCCTGAGTCGTTAGAAGAGACTCCACAAGAACAAGAGAGGATTGAAAACTCTCCGGCAAGATGGCATTCTTCAGTAATATCAAAAAACGGACGTGGATTCAAAGAGAATGGTCTTTCATCAACCATGGTAAACCATTTACCAGAGTACAGTACAGGAGAAGGACAACGAAAAACTGACATCAGGGGACCATCTCCTGTCTGTGGAAGAATAGCAGACCCCATTCCAAGTCGTCTACCGGAAGCTGTAGCAGGAACAGTGCGGGATTTATCATTTAAACTTAGTAAGCAAACCTATTTGTCTAATCTAGGGGGAATACAGTATTATGCTAACCCACACTTCACACCTAGGACCTCTAACAGCACATTCACTCCAGCTAGGTCTTTCTATGCTCAGTTAAAAAGAACAAGAAACGATTATCGCCCATTATCTCCTGTGATTGCTCCAGTCTCTCCAGTTACTCCGACATCTTCACCACCACTTGACCAGAACTTTCACAATATCTACGCTTCGCCAGGTGACAGCATAGAAGATTGTGAAGTCTTAGATTTAAGTCTAAAGAAAAAGTCATGTAGTAGTAGTAATGCTGGCCAAAGCTATGCGCAAAAAGTTGAAAATTTTAGTCACGATGTAGTTCAAGAGGAATGTTTGGATTTATCAGTAAAGAAACAGCAACAAGAACCAGTTGATTTTACAAGTACCTTGAAATACAGAGGGCGCTCTTTGCAACCAAGTTCAGTCAGTCAACAAGCAGCTTCATCGTCATCATTCACCAGTACGTCACGATCATCATCACCATTTTTCAGTGGCTCATCATTTTATGCCAAAGTTTCCTCGAATGAGATTAATCGACATTTAGTAATGAATAAACACATAGGAACGGAAAACCCAACATCTTTTCCGCGTGTTCCATTTCTAGAACGAGAACACACTAAAACGTTGGGCCAAGATACGCATAACTCTACATTTTCATCCAGAAATTTATTAGAAACTTCTCAAACGATTCTGTCGTCTACGAGAACTACTACAATTAAACCCACTCCTCAGAGTCATGTGACTGCATCAATTAAACCTACTCCTCAGAGTCATGTGACTGCATCAGAGTTGTCTCCAAGCCACCCTCTTTGTAGCCGTTCTCTAGAAACGTCCTTTCCGAAAGGTACACGAGCAGATATGATGACACACAGGGAGATACTGAATTGTAGCAACCTTCGAGGAGATCTCCTTCACTCTGTTCCACCTCATCTGTGTTCCATGCTATTGCAAGACACCGAATTTAAAACTGATCTTATTAAGTGACTACAAAAACGGATAGGATGAAAAAATGAACATTTTAAATTGGCATACCTTTACAAATATAACTAAAATTTATGATGAAAATGACAATATATACATAAGTAGTTGTCTAACATCTTTTCTTTATATTTTTCCCGTTGTGTTTTTTTTTTAAGTTTATAAAGGTCCACTCTACACTTTCTTTTTTTTATTAAGGTATATGCAACTGAAAGTAAACGGATCAAACTATACGTACCTATATGATAGCAGCTTAATTGTAATAATACATACATATAGATCAATATAAGGGGACCACGGACATTGAGACGTTACGTACTGACAAGCAGTAGGTATAAAAGATGACATATTGCATGTATAGGTAGGTTAGATAGAGAAATAAGGTAGGCTGTTGTATTTCGTGCAATGACATTTTTCTCATAAAATGTTACATAATAGTGTGCGTCGATTTATATACTTGTGGATGTTTCACGTGTCTGTTTGATGGGGAAGTGAAAATTGTAGCTGTTTACAATGTTTCTATTGCCATAAAATACTATGGGTTGCCTTTCTTTGAAGGTGGCTCAGATATAATTTTGGCCTTACCTTTTAAACCATACTGGATAAATACATCAGTTATGTTCAGCAGTTGTTTGTCTAAAATTATATTATGATATGGTAGAATTAAAACCACGTTAAGGCACAGTTCTGGGTTAAAGATATCAGTTGAAGAGAGGTATGTTCATATCCTCCTTTTTTTTAACAAGTAGTCTAGATATTATATATATATATTTTTTTTTCAATTTTAAAAACGTAAATATAATTTTGCCTTATTATTTTTCTAAACTGAACTTTATTTTGATTCTCTGGATGTGCAATTATTGTGACATAGAATAAAATAAAATGATATTTGTGAAGCCGGGTTATTTGATATAGTTCAAAAATCAAGTAGCTTTCCACAAATTCCAGAAAGCGAGGAAAATGTTATAATTCTTTCATTTTAATCTGACTGGATGTATTGGTGTAAATAGTTAATCACAAACAATTTAGATATGTTGAAATTTAACACTTTGATGAAATTTAACTTCACTCATAATGGTTAAAATTCATGGTATAATGAGCTTGTGTGGTAATCAAATACTTTGAGCGTTAAGAAAAGTGCCTTACTAGCACTAGTTGTGAGATTTAACCCTTTAGCTCAGGTGTAAGAGAGCTTTAGATTAGGTTCGAGAACAGGTCTTGTTTGTGAGGAGAGAGAACTGTGTTAGCCAGGTAGATTGAGAGTTAAGAATAGTCTTATTAGCATTAGCTATGGGGTTAACTCTTTAGCTCAGTAAGAATAGTCATCGTTTGGTGGTTTGACCCCGTGACCTACGAAAAAACAAACAAACGGGATTACCGCACTTGCTACCACATTAACTTGTATCTTAATTTTTAAATATACATTATTTGTCTATCCTGTAGACCTTTTTTGGATAAACTGTGTTTATGTATCTGAGCCAAAGCCTTTCCAAACGTGCCATCTTGAAGTTACCATCATTTGAATGAAAGAGTTGTGACAGAATTTAATATGCTTTGTCTACTTTGAAAACCAAAGGTGGCGTGCAGAAGACTGATTCACTTAAATTATCTTTGAACAAAAATAATTTTTACTTTGATATTTATTTCTGCACGTAATAACTTAATAATTAAATAAATCAGGATTTAATACTCGTTTCACATACTTTTTATATTGTTTTAAAATTTTTTAATTTACGCATATTTTAGAAGGTCAATTTGTTACTTCCAAAAGTCTACGAACGACTTTTCAGTAATCTAGATATGATATCTTAATATTTTATAATGAAACTGCCATGAACTCTGATGAGTACACTTTTTTATCGAGTGTCATTTGTATTTTTTTATATATAAAAGTATTAAGGTCTTAATATTGTTTTTAAACTGCATCCCAATAACGAGGGCAAAGATTTGGCTCTTGGCAATGTACGATGTTATGTAAAAAAGAAACTCTGAAGTTATTTATAAGCAATTAAAACAAATTGTCAGTATCTTTTTTTTTGAAGTGACAAAGACATTGTTAGCTACGGATATGTTTGCCGCTTTATTTTGAATGAAAATATTTGATTTTGTTGTTATTTTAGTAATACGGATATATCATGCAATCTTTCATATCATATGTGTACATGCACGGTTCATTCTAACAACGTGGACAATAGCACGAAAGGGCTTTCTACTTCTATTTGTTTGTGTGATGTAGTAGCCCTATTTAAGGATGTAATATATTGAGCTTTATAATATTTTGTAATGTGTGGTTGACATTGTATAATAACTTGCAGTGTTTAGTAAATTGTGTTGTACCTGTTATTTGCTTTCGTTTGAGATTTATTTCGACGCAACCTAATCAACTAAGCACAAAATTAAAAAGTGATGTGCGGGTGGGAAGAAAGTACTCATGCTAAGCGTTTGAATACGATGGTGTATTTTAAAGTGCTTCCTCATTAGGAAGTGGGCCGGCATGGTCAGGTGGTTAGGGCGCTCGACTCGCAATCTGCGGGTCGTGGGTTCGAATCCCCATCCCACCAAACATGCTCGCCCTTTCAGCCGTGGGGGCATTATAATGTGACGTTGGTAAAAGAGTAGCCCAAGAGTTGGCGGTGGGAGGTGATGACCAGCTGCCTTCCCTCTAGTCTTTCACTGCTAAATTAGGGACGGCTAGCGCAGATAGCCTTCGTGTAGCTTTGCGCGAAATTCAAAACAAACAAATTGCAATGTTAATAAAAATAAACAATTCAAAACGAACTAGTGTCAGAAGCACCTAACGAACGTATCCTGTGTAGTCCGTCTTGGGCTTCCCAATGTTTATAATAATAATAATAAACAATCCAGAACGAACTAGTGTCTGAATCACCTCATGAATGTAGTCCTTGCAGTTCAACCTGGGAATCTCAATGTAATAAAAGTAACTGGAGTGTGAAACATCCTGTGAACTTAGCCTTTCCATTTCAACCTGGGCTTCCAAATATCAGTAATGATAACAATTCACAACCGACTGGTGAGTAAAGCTATTTACAGATTTAGTCCTTGCAGTTCAACCTGGGCTTCTCAGTGTGAATGATAATAATAACAAAGCAATTCAGAACAGACTGGTGCCTTATGAACCTTTGCAGGTAAACCTGAGCTTCCCAATGTGAATAATAATAATAAAACAGTTCAATCGAACTGGTGTCTAGAGCACCTTACGAACCTTTGGAATTCAACCTGGGTTTTTCTAGTGTCAATAATAATAATATAAACAATTCAGAACGAACTTCTGTCTGAAACATTTTACGATCTTTAGTTTTTGCAGTTCAACCTTGGTTTCTTCAATGTGAATAATAACAAAACAGTTCAGAACGAATTGGTGTCAAAAGCACCTTACGAACCTTTGCAGCTAAATTTAGGTGTGTAAGATCAAGCCATGTAATTTAGGTTTCCCAAAGTGTATAAGAGCAAGCCATGAAATTTAGATTTTCCAAAATGTGTAAGAGCAAGCCATGTAATTTAGGTTTCCCAAAATGTATAAGAGCAAGCCATGTAATTTAGGTTTCCCAAAGTGTATAAGAGTAAGCCATGTAATTTAGGTTTCCCAAAGTGTATAAGAGCAAGCCATGAAATTTAGATTTTCCAAAATGTGTAAGAGCAAGCCATTTAATTTAGGTTTCCCAAAGTGTGTAAGAGCAAGCCATGTAATTTAGGTTTCCCAAAGTGTTTAAGAGCAAGTCATGTAATTTAGGTTTCCCAAAGTGTGTAAGAGCAAGTCATGTAATTTAGGTTTCCCAAAGTGTGTAAGAGCAAGCCATGTAATTTAGGTTTCCCAAAGTGTTTAAGAGCAAGTCATGTAATTTAGGTTTCCCAAAGTGTGTAAGAGCAAGTCATGTAATTTAGGTTTCCCAAAGTGGGTAAGGGCAAGCCATGTAATTTAGGTTTCCCAAAGGGTATAAGAGTAAGCCATGTAATTTAGGTTTCCCAAAGTGTGTAAGAGCAAGCCACGTAATTTAGGTTTCCCAAAGTGGGTAAGAGCAAGCCTTGTAATTTAGGTTTCCCAAAGTGGGTAAGAGCAAGCCATGTAATTTAGGTTTCCCAAAGGGTATAAGAGTAAGCCATGTAATTTAGGTTTCCCAAAGTGTGTAAGAGCAAGCCA